TTTGATTCATTCTTTTAGGAATGAGTAATGTCTTAGCTTCACAACTAAATGATAAATGAAATTTTTATTATTCTCTTATTCTTTTTATTGTTATCTTTCAAAGATACAAGAATTTATAAATCAAATATATAACCTTAAATTGACCCATCAAACTGACCTTGTTGAACTACCAATTTGGCATGTTGGATTACTTTATCAAGCTGCCTTATTAAATTGTCCTGTTGGGTTGATAGTTGGCCTATTAAGTTGATGAGTTTATGAGTTACCTAGTTGATCTATCAAATTAACGATTCAACGAGTTGACAAGTTGACTTATTGAGTTGTTTTATCAAGTAGCACTGCCATGTTACCCTACTATATTGGGCTACCATGTTAATAACTTGACAAGCAGCCAAGTTGGCTACCATTCCAAGCTAATGAGTTAACTTACCAACCTACCAAATTAACCTTACTGAGTTAACAAGTTGTTGAGCTGACGATTTGGCTTACCAAATTGACCCTGTCGATCTTAGAGTACCGATTAGGAGAAAATTTCATTTTTGAAAACACACACTAACCAAATTAAAAGGGTAATGCATACCTTTTGTACTCACATAGCTTTTAGCAACGAGGGAAAGGCCGCTCAAGCCCTTGAGTTTGCTTGAATCAAACTTCAGGGTTAATGAATGTGCATCCTCCAAAGGCCTCATAGTAGGAGGATTTTCCTTATTCATTTATACTTTTAGCTTTCTTCTTCTTTCTCTCTGAAGGGTTCTCATTACTATTCCTCTTACAAAATAGCTTGACGCCAAGTAAATATCAAGGATTTTAAACTTTTCTATTCGGATATTCATCGCTCAAACAATTGTGTGACACAATAATAAGGAGCTCCACAAGAAGAAAGTACATGAATGCCCACCATAACTGTTAGACCCATACTTATAGAAGGCTTTAAAGAATCTTACATGACATAATCATTAATTGTGAAATATAAATGATATAATAAATGATTACTTAATACCAATTTATTCTCTTATTTTTTTCACTATAAAATTATAAAAATATAAGATACTTGAGGAACTAAATATGCTCATTTGGAAGCTTCACTAATAAATCCAACCTAAAAAAATACAGTCAATGTCAAACAATAACAAGTTGTGGGTCCAATCTAACTATAAGTATAATATCACCATAATTCACCATCAAGTTTAAGGATTAAAGGCGATTCATCCATTGACTTATATGAAATAAGCAAATTGCCAACCCATATCAGATGATGCAAAGTCATCTAACTATAGTTGACTCATAACGAACCCCTAACTCTCTATCACCTCCCATACAAGACTTCAAAGAATGAGACGGTCTCAACTAAAAGGCTATAATGTTTTCCCAATGAAACCACTTGGGTATTAAAATTTCAAATCTGATAGGAGATATCAACAATGATGAAGTTAAATGATGATCAATGAGATGCCAAAGTGTGTACTCAGGATGGAGCTCTTGTTATTCCGAGTTAAAGGTGATGAATTGGGTTGGGCTTGGTGCAGTTCTTTCCAGAAATAAATTGAAATCAGTGACACTGAATAACTTGTTTATCTGAATCATCTATACTATATAATCATCAATGAAAAGGGGTAAAGTAGAGATAGTTTTGATTTGTGATATTAGGAATTGTATGTGGGGGGGAGAAGGAATATAAATTTTTGTCATCTTGGTAAGGGAGAATGTGTATGGTTGATTGAAGTGGATACAGTAAGCATCTAAAGTATTCGTAGTAATAAGGAATAGTTAGTTAGTGGACCTAATAATGTAAAATAATATAGGGAAGATCTATGACACAACACTTTCACATGTATATTATTAATTGAATGTACATGTACACTCTTTGAGCTAAATATATAATCACCTGGGCAGTGTTGTAATTAGTGTAAGGCATTAAATGATATTTTCATAAGGGGTTTGTTTTTGCCCATATGATGAGGTTGGTTACAAGGTAACTTTTTACCCATATGTTGATGGATGCTTGTTTGATTATGTTAAAATTCTTTACGAAGTGTTGATGGATGATTGTTTGATTCGAATTTTACCATCCATGTGTTACGTAGAAAAATACAAGTTATATGCTTAGTTACACTTATTGGGGGTAGTTTCTAAAATCATTTGGCCATATTCATGAGTTTTTGACTATGAGCCACATTCATCAAACAAAAGAAATAAGACGCCTTAGTTAATCATATTAATTAATCAAAGAGGATTTAAACCTCCCACACTCTTCACATCAAGGTACGTTAAGAAGCAAATAAAAATATGTATTTCTCGCAATATAAATTATCTTATGAACCACTGTGTTTGATTATGTTAAAATTCTTTACGAAGTGTTAATGGATGACTGTTTGATTCGAATTTTACCATCCATGTGTTACATAGAAAAATACAAGTTATATGCTTAGTTACACTTATTGGGGGTAGTTTCTAAAATCATTTGGCCATATTCATGAGTTTTTGACTATGAGCCACATTCATCAAACAAAAGAAATAAGACGCCTTAGTTAATCATATTAATTAATCAAAGAGGATTTAAACCTCCCACACTCTTCACATCAAGGTACGTTAAGAAGCAAATAAAAATATGTATTTCTCGCAATATAAATTATCTTATGAACCACTATTTGTAAAAATATTTGTAAGAAAAAAATATAATTTCTTAAATTTTAGTGACTATTATAGGTTGGATCCTAAGTTGTCCATTGGTTCAAATCACCAAAGAAAGAATTGAATAAGAAAAAGTTTTAAGCCAACATAATGAAAGAAGAACAAAAGAGAAGCCATTCAATTGATATCTTGGGATCCATCCCTTGTACTGCACTAGTCCCCTCTATAAAGGGGTTGGCTTATATTTAATGCGTGCCAGAAAATTTGCGGCGGTAGAGTAATGGATTATCGTCTTAGCTTTGCACGAGAATTCAACACATACAGATAACATAAGAGAAGTAAGCAGGAGGAGACACCTCGACTTTTTACGGGAAAACCCTTGAAAGAGGAAAAAATAACGGGGCATATCCCAGTTGAAATAATCCATCATGACTGATGAGTACACAGGTTCATTCTTCCCCTAGCTTAGGGAAGATGGAATTACAAAGTTGTGTAAATATAATCTTACTGTTGTTTTTGGTGGCAGCAGGTTGCAAGAGTCATTGTTGATTGTTATGGAGGTAGTAGTCCATCGTGAGTGTTGTAGATGGCTGCTCCAGAAGTGTTGATTGGCCAAAGAAACCGTAGTAAGCAGTTACAGGAGTTGTGGACCACATAGGTCATAGTGGCGAGTATGAATGACGTCCGTAGGCCGCCGGGGCCGGGGACGCGGGAGCTGCTCGAGTTGTGAACCACGTAGGTCGTTGTTGACAAATGGACCGTAGTGATGAGCTCATGTCCCACGACGATGACTGACGATGTCTGATTGGTGGTGATCGACGATGATTGGTCATGATCTACAGTAATGGTTGACAGTGGATGAAGGTGATCCGGGGGTAGCTGATGGCGATCGACGGTGGTCGACGACGGTCGGGATGCTGCTGGACTTCAGCTCCTTCTTAAAGCTTCCAGTTCTCTTTGAGGCTTCCAGCCCCCCCTCATGTGAAGGGTGGGGCTCTATTTATAGTGTTTTTGGTTTTATTAATGCATGAATATGAATCATTTTGATCGGACGGTCCGAAGAACTTCCTCCAATCAAACAACGGTTAATGAACATTTGAGTGCCTTAATGATATCAGAATTGAGTGATCTTGGGCTCGTTGGATTCGTCTTGTCAAGCTGCTCGATTCGATTATAAACTTGTCATATTCGACAACCATTTGATCTTCCAAATGTGTCTGGATTATGACTTGATCTGGGCTTGACTTGACTCGGATTGAGCTAGTTTCATATCATTAGGTCCGTCTCATCGAGCTGACCAGTTTGACAATAAGTTTGCTGAAATCAGAGCTCTAGATAACTTTTTATCAAGATTTGAATGTTTTCTAAGATAACTTTTTATCAAGATAGCTCTAGATAACTTTTTATCAAGATTTGAATGTTTTCTAAATAAAATATTGTCTCGAAATTTGTGTCATGCCTATGTCGGATGATGAAAATTTGTTGTTGGCGTATCAATACTATAATTATAAATATACAAATAACCCAGGAAATAAGAAATCGTCAATCTAACATCTTTGTCCTATATATTCTAGGTTGGGCGTTATAATAAATATTATCGGGGTAACTTCCTACATTGGTAACCAATATTGGGAGACAGAGTTAATGCTTCAATTGGCCAATTTGGTCATAGGGCGAGTTAATTTCAGCCTAGGAGTTGGTTTTCCCGAGGAAATTGGACTGCTGGGAGAAATGTTCGGGATGAATTAGTATATTGTGAGAGTTAATCTTCAGAGAAAGTTGCCAAACTGCCTTTATCTAGCATCTGTGTGTTGATCACAATTGGTGGGTTATTCGAACATTTTCCCTAGTCTTATTATTTTTTCTAATTGATCTAGCCCAGTTATCCAACTGGCTTGGTGAACATTCTTGCCTCATTCTTTGAATCTGAGAATATATATATATATATATATTGAAAAGAGTTGAACAACAGTTTTATTGCATTTAAAACACACTAACACGTAGAATTATACGAAAAAAAAAATCTCAGCATAAATTAAATACAAAATATAAAGTAATGACCGAGCAAAATTACACCTGGTAGCTTTTTAACAAACAAAATAGCGAAAAAAAATGCTCAAATGAAGCGAAACCTCCAAAGCGGTGGAAAACGGTCCACCGCTCTAACTCCGAATATCATGAACATTATTACCGAATTATTTGATATTCTCACCTATCAAATAAATAATTAAGTAAATGTTCGCTCGATAATGAATAATCCCTACATGAATCCTTCAAAATTCAGTTAAAAATCCGTCCTTTACTTCCGGCTTCAACATCGTCCCCCGTCTCTCTACATAAACAAAGCCAGCCTTCTATCAAGAACAGTAACAAGACGAGTGTTCGTACAAACAACATATCAAGGGGTTAGCTATCTTCAAAGAGATTGGAGAAACAAAAATGGCTTCGAGTTCATTAAACAAACCCCACGCTGTGTGCGTCCCATTTCCATCCCAAGGCCACATGAACCCCGTGCTAAGCTTGGCCAAAATTCTTCACGCCAAAGGTTTCCACATCACCTTCGTCCTATCCGAATACAACCGCCGCCGGCTCTATTTTTCTCAGGGCTCTGTTCGTGAACTCCCCGACTTCCGTTTCTTTACCATCTCTGACGGCCTCCCCTACTCCGATGAAAATGCTACGCAGAACGTCCCCGATCTCTGTGAATCAACAATGAAGCATTGTCTCGGTCCATTCCGAACTCTCCTTGCTGAGCTCAAAGAAGAGAAAAATACGCCCCCCGTCTCGTGCATCGTTGCTGATGGCGCCATGAGTTTCACACTTGACGCGGCTCGTGAGCTCAACATCCCGGAGATTCTTTTCTGGACCACCAGCGCTTGCGCTTTCCTTGCTTACCTCAACTTCCAACAGCTAGTGGATCGGGGCGTCGTTCCACTCAAAGGTAAACAAGTTGAAGCGTAGCGTAAATAATGATCCGCGCGAGCTTTGTTTCGTTATCTTTATAGATATTTGTTTGTCATAAAATTTTAATTTTACAATAAAACAACTGGATTTTAGAAATAAATTAAAAAAAATTTGAAGATGCTTAAATTAAACAAGGAGACGTGACAATTATATTTTTTAGGGAAATTTACATACGGTAAGGATGCAGACATAACATGTTATGAATTTTAAATCTTACACGATGAACAAATAAATAGGATAATTATATATAGAGAGAGAAAATTTATATATATAACAATCCAAACCGAAATATTTTTATTTACAATCCAATTAATAGGATATATATATATATATATATAACGGAAATATTATTATTTACAAAATTTAGTATCATATGTGATATTTTTGAACAATCCAATTAATTTATTTATATGTGTCAAGAATAAATTATAGAGAAAATTTGATAAAAATGAAAAATATGAGTTAGAGGTTTTATCATGAATTTTGATATTTGAGAATATTAAAAAAATGACTGGAAAAAAGTGCTAGATATGTAAATAGCAAGGTCCTGATTGCTATCTAATGTAATTACCCCTAAATAAATTGAGAAAAAGACAGAATGTAATATATATATATATAATTAACTCAAAATAACAATCGATCATTGTCATTTAAAATATTCAGTTGTAAGTTCGCATCTAAATAATATAACTTTTCTTCTCTAAAAAATGTCTAATGCATATTCTTGATCCATTACTTGTCTTTTCATTACTTATACCATGTTGTCTTGATGTAGATGAGGCCGCGTTAACCAGCGGATACCTTGACACAGAAGTAGACTGGATACCCGGTCTAAGACAAGGCATACGTCTAAAGGACTTACCCTCTTTCCTGCGCGTGACGGATATAAAAGATAAGATGTTTAACTATATCCGGCACGAGACAAACAGAGCTTCCATGGCCACAGCAATCGTGCTCAACACCTTTGAAGCCCTTGAGGTTCCCGTCCTTGAGGCACTGCGGCAGATCATCCCCTCCGTCTACGCCGTGGGCCCACTATCGCTCCTCTCTCGAAGCTTGATATCAAACGAAAGCCGACTCGCCTCCATCAACACAAGCCTATGGAAGGAGGACACCACATGCATAACTTGGCTTAACGGCAAGCGGGATCAATCAGTTGTGTACGTCAACTTTGGAAGCGTAACTGTAATCAACGGAGATCAATTCAAGGAGTTAGCATGGGGCCTCGCCAATAGCGGCTATGATTTTCTATGGGTGATCAGACCCGACCTAGTGAGGGGAGAAAAGTCTGTGCTGCCTGCAGATTTTCTGAAAGAGACTAGCCAGAGAGCATTGCTGGCAGACTGGTGCGATCAAGAGGAGGTGCTTCGCCACCGGGCAGTGGGAGTTTTCTTAACGCACTCCGGCTGGAACTCGACATTGGAGAGCATAAGTGGTGGTGTGCCGATGATATCTTGGGCGTTCTTCGCGGAGCAACAAATGAATTGTTTTTATTCACGCACTGATTGGGGTGTGGGGATGGAGATGGACAGTAGCTTGACAAGGTCGGAGGTTGAGAGATTGTTAAGGGAGATGATGGAGGGGGAGGAGGGTAAGAAGATGAGAAAGAAGGCGGCGGAGTGGAAAGCAAGTGCAGCTAATGCTGTTAGTCAGCTTGGGA